CAACTGTATGGATCAAGAGGGGCAGTTATGTGGTTATAGATATGTCTGCTCTGGCGGACCGTGAGAACAAGCTGGATGGAGAGATTGTGAACGTGGTACGCGACGAGAAGGCTTGGAGGAAAATGAGCTACTGGTATGTTCCAGCCGGGTATCGTGTAGTATGTGTACAGAGCGCTAACAATAGTATACAGGCCCAAGGAGTTCGTAAAGAAGTCGACTTACGTCCAAGATAGCGACGACGAGGAATCGACCGTCGGCAAGATGCCGCCCAGCGACTCAGACGAGGACTGAGTTCTTCGTCGCATCACTCGGCGTGCGCATGATCTTCCTCAATTATACCCTTCGTCACGCCCTCGTACTCCTTCCTCGTCCCCCACCATACACCTGCGACCGTAATCGCGAGAACGCCCACAACCGTCGCCGAGCTTGCCGATGTACTCGGATACACATTCCACGCCCACTCTTGCGCGCCCCACAATGCATACACAACGGCCGGATTGAAACCTGCTTTCCACAGGAGGAATGGTGTGCACCACGCGACATACGCGTAGAACTGGTAGTGCAGACTACGCGCGCATAGTAGGCCAATAGTCATCGCGGTCAACATCGTCGTCATAATGAAATCCGGGGTGATCTTGCTGGACATGGTGTCCTGGTCCCGGGGCTCAATGGCTGGAATACAAAGCTTGAGGAATTCCTTGACATTGCGCTTCGAGGGCTTGATCCAGCGGGTTCGCGCGTACCAGATGAGGAGGCCAACATGCAGAGCGAGTAAGCCAATGGCGAAGGGGCGTGAGAGGAACGTAGATTCCGGGACGAAGCGCCAGTTCACGGTCCATTTGTACAGGAAGGCACGGCTGAGCTCGAAAGCGCGGGCGAAATAGCTTGGTGCGCGCTTCCTGAAGGGGTAGCCATACAAAACCTACATTTTGATTAGCATCAATTGATAACACTCCGTGATCGATGAATTACTTACCGAAACCTGTACGATGATCATGGCCTGTGTCAAGGCTTCTCTTCCACCCAGTTTCATGACCATGAGAATACCCATTGCTGGTAGAGGCAGCAATAGGCTCATCTTGACGTTCAGCCCTGTGCTATAAAGCGCGCTCCCCAGATGCCATTGATCGCTTTGATAGCAAAAGACGGCCAGCCAGAAGAACAGCACCGCGAAACAATCATTGAAGCATCGTAGCATGAAAATACTATGCATGCGCTTTGAGAGAATCAACAGCGGGAAAATGTAGGGTGGAACCTATCAACACGTCAGCTTCTACTCTATGCCGCCAACATCAACAGCCAGAATGGGAAAGTACTCACCCGCGCCTTCCTATAACATTGAAAAACCACACCAAGCGTAAGCAGATACACTCCCGCGAAAATATACTGCGCGAGGGCGATATCCCGCCCTTCATCCGTCCACTTGTAAAGATGCTTGTAGATCCAGACATGCGCACCAGGGTACACGAGCGGACCTGTCGAACCAGCAATATTCTTATAGTCGCGCTCGCCTTTCAGAAAGATGGCTATTTGCTGCATGTACGTGGTCCAGTCAATCTCAGTATCTAGCAACCTCGCTGTTAGGACACGTGGTGCGTTTTCGGTGAGTAAGAAAGGAGCACGAACAAGGTATCTTCTCGATTATCACGCCTGAAAGCGCGGCGTCTGCTACGAGCAGGAGCGGAGTCATCCATCTTGTGTGATCGGGATTGTAGGCTAGGTCTTTTGCGCGGGCGAGGAGCGACATGGCGGCGTTTGTTGTTGCACGCGGTTTTGGTGATGGCAAGTTCGGGGGTTAACGATGGTGTTATAGTTCGCGTCGCGTGTCACGTGGGAAGGAGGTTTGAGGTTTCAAGGATGGCAGTTTCGCGCGACGTGTGTTTCAGGCATCATTTTTCTCGTGCGAGCTGTGGATGGTGGTTTGACCTGGACTGCACGTTTTGTATGGAGTCAGACGCTGTTGCGCTCACGTCCTGGTGTTGTGCTATTTACGGCAAATGCGAGGTTTGCGCGTCCAGCCATTCGTCACTCTTCGCGTCAATACCCTACACGCGATGTTCAATTCGAAAGTTGATTTTCCGATGGTTTCAGTCTTCTTTTCTACTAGCAGCTCAAGTATCTTTCTCTCACAAATGTAGCAGGATGCAGTCGTCGTAGTGGTAGTGGCACAAATGATGAAGAAATTAATGTTGCATTAGGTCTAGGCTCTAAGGAATGTCTATACAGGAAGCGCTGAGATAATCATGAACACTGAGGAAGGTCATAGCCTATGCTCAGTACTGGCTGGGTGCCGGGCACGCAGGGGCGGCGGCGGCGGGAAGAGGGACGAAGGTGACATAGGCATCGGAGACGCCCTGGCAGACGAAGTCCTTGGGGCCGTTGCCACCGGCACGGCAGTAGCTGGGAAGAGTGGTGGTACCGACATAGGTGAGACTGAAGGAATGTTAGCAAATTGAACGAACTGCGCATTCAAAGGCATGGGAAAAACTTACTCGTCGCTGACACCCTGCTTGATGATCAGACCGCTACGGTCGCTTGAGAAAGCGAAGTCGATGAAGCTGTTCTCGCCGCAAGAGTAGAACTTGTTATCCTCAAGCTTGTCGGCTTGGGAAGAGCAGTTGAAGTCGAGGGTACCTCCGTTGGTAGCCTTGATGTTGAAGCCGAAGCTGTTGTAGTAGGTTCCCTCAGGCTTGCGTCCGAAGAAGTTGGAGATCTTCCAGACGTAGTCACCCTGGGTAGCAACTGGGCAGGATGCGTCGACCTGGCGGGCCTCGAGAGGTGCGGCGCTGGCAACGGCAGCGGCAGCGAAGAGAGAAGCGATGGTGGTGAACTGCATCTTGATGGAGTTGGTTTGAAGTTGGTTTGAATTTGGGATAAAGTGTTGGAAAGTGTGGTAGGTTGTAGTTGAGTGTGAGAGTTGGTGGTTGATGGTGGCTAGAAAGTGAGATACTCACTGGCATTATATAGTCATCACACCTCGTATCTGGGGTACTGTACTCCTGCCACGATCATCATGTCCGTCTCGTCCCAAGGTTCAATACGAGAAGATTGACACCAGGCGTCACCCTTGACCTTACCCACTAGAACATACGAGAAAGGTGTACCATGAAATTTCTCCAGGAACACGAGCCTCAGACCATGCCGAGAGCGCCGAAACCACACTCTACCCCAATTTTTGGAGCCTCAGTACCCTTGCCAACGGTGTCACGAACCAGTAGCGGCATCCGGGGTGACCGGATGAGGCGACAGGCATGTCCTATCCGGGCAGTTGGCAGACCTAGCCGAGCTTGGATCGTGCTAAACATACGAGATGTGACGTCTAGTAGGATGAACCAGGTATGCATTGGGCGCTGGCCGATCGGCTGTGCATGGCCTTAGTTCGGAAGACTAACGGCATGACGTCCTGGCTATATGTATTCTGATTGCCGTTGCAACACCGTACATGCGATGGTAGGCGACTGCTTCTTCCACATTTGTATCAACGCGGTGTACCCTAGAGTGCTCGCGAACCACTATACCTAGGTAGCTTAGCGACACACTGGAAGCGTAAAAGAGATGTCCTATGTTCCTGAAGTCGAGCCTGAGTGCTGTGGACCTGAGTATGTCGGCCGCGTGAATGATGACTGCAATCTCGTAGAGTTCGATCGGTCCGTTCCCGAACGACCTCATCGTCCACAGAAATGGGTGGTCCGAGTGTGGGGACGAGCGTAATATCAGTAATCGGCGTTGCCTCCATCACCTTGAATAATTCCAAGGTTAGCATGGAGATCACTCGTGAACGAAGGATTGAAATACGACGTCGCTTGGGGTTGAACCGAGATAGTGGAAAGTTGAGCCGTGACATCTGGCAGGAATGGCATCATCGAGCCGGTTGTTGCGGCTGTGGCTGCCGATCACCTGCCTGGCTCGCGCCCAGGGTCCACGCTCAAAGACGGAGCCAGGAGCTAAACAATGACACCAACACCACTGACGCACCATCGGAGTCTGTCCGGCGGCACGCTATATTTGCTATTTTTGGACCCGCGATCGTGGGCTCACGCTCAACGCTGAACGAAAACTTTACGACCCAGGTGCACATCTACCTTCAAGGACTGGCATGCGTGGCAATGAACTCAAACTCACTGCACCCACCGTGCGCAAGGCGACTATCAAGGTACACAGAGATCTGAGACGGCACTCGAATATTTTACGGTTCCGTTCCGTCATTCTCGGAGATCTCGTTGTTGCTTTTGGGACCTGTCGGCAACTGCCTTGATTTCGATGGATGACTGAACATTTTGCTAACCTCGTCGGAGTCTGTCGGGCAGACAATACTGCACTGGCGTCGATAGGACCGATAAACCATTGAATGTATGGACGCGGCAACGATTCACGGAGTCAGACGATACTCTTGCTGAGGATCTGTGGACAATGAAGACACTCACGCCGTGATTAGCGAAAGCTGGTTGGCGAATCCCTCCTACCGCTCATGAATGTGGCTGGAGCCATTCGATCATATCTGATGCTGGGTGCTCAGACAGCGGATCAGCAAGGGCACAAGTCTTACACGAGATGACACGTAAGACCCTGCCACAATACACATGGGCAGAAGGAGTGGTAAGATCGGATCAACGACACTGAAGAGCACAACACATGTACTTGTGTTGTACATCCGGCGAGTTTGGAAGTTCCTTTGACGCAAGATGACACAGGAACTTTCCTGTGTTGCAAGAAGAGGAGGTGTACCACAGTAAGTAACCGTCCTGCTGCCGTTGCTCACCGGTCGGACCACAAGGTCAAAATACCCAGTTCAGCAAAGTGATGGCAGCATGCATGGAATGCAGTACACGCGGAACAAAACGTCTCCCAACAACGGGTACGTACGCGCAATACTGGTTACCCAAGAGTATTTCTTGGGTGTAAACCTCTCGTATGGTCACTGTTCCATGCTTGTCGTCCGCGATTTGACCGACTCTTGCTGCTCTCCTCTTTCTTCCCAACAATCTTGGCTTGCCTAAATCATGGATCCTGTTGAGCTGGAAGCTACCTACACCAAGAAAGGAAACATCAGCTACGACTATGGCGAGAATGATGACGACGATTACCCGGGCAGCGAGGATAACCAAAGTGGTGAAGACGGAGACGCCAACGGCGAAAGCGATGACGCTGATGAAGCTCTCGACAACGCTTCGGTAGATGACATGGATAGCGAGCTTAGCGACGATGTAGCCAGCGACAGCTCCCCTATTGCATCCAGTGATGATGAATGGGAAGACGAAGAAGAAGAAGCAGAATCTGAGACTATCAGCGTGGAAAACAACGACAGCGGCTCAGATGACGATGCCAAATTGATCGATGGAGAAGTTGTCGACACAGTGAGCGACGAGAGCACCTTGGACAGTGAAGCAAATAATACGAGCGAAGAAGGAGCTACGGTGAATACCGCAGCACGGTTTGTAGGAGAGATCGTCATATACGACAGGGAAAGCACTACATACCAAGAGCACGACAGCATCTTTACAAGTACGCGAAGTGCTTCGAGGGGTTGGGTGCAGTCCCTGAAAGGACAGAGTGCTACAAATCTGCCAACTCAGACTACCTACCAAGCATGTCAGCCGATCAACATTGACCAATCGAAGAGCACATACCAATCGTCCAACAACCATCGGACTGGCGACGAGGACCGGAAGAAGATTCCACGATCTGTCCCTGAAGCACCGGCCCTGCTAGACACATCGAGCCTCCATCAAAGTCAAATATCAGCTGGTGTGCAGAAGCCCACAGGCGCAAAGAGATCAGCGTTCAAAAAGCTGAAAGATACCGTTCTCAAAAGCACAACTCTCGGGACCACTGAGTCAAGCTCCATGATCTGCAGGAAGCCTAAAGGCAAACATGTCAAACTACCTGTTCAGGCTACACGTCATCGAGCACCAGAAAAAATGAGGAAGTCTGAATTCAGCAATGATACCGATGGGATTCACGAGCTGTACGTTCCGGGTGGATCAGCTCAGCCGACCGAAGCCGCCAAAATGCCTGAGGCAGCGAGAAAGTCTCCTGTGTTCTACGAGATGGAGAGTAGGCCCGTAGTAACTGCCACTTACAGATCCAGCAAGACAAAGCAACATCCTACTACTCATGAGCTGGAAGGAACTCTCGGTCACGTTATCAACAATCTCGAGCAAAACTTTACGATGCATGAATTGGAGGGAGCTATCGGTCAGACTCTTAGAACTACTAGGAACCATTCTACGGTTCATGAGCTGGATAGCGTTGCTGTAGCATTTGCAGGCCGGGTTCCCTTCAGAACAAAGAAACAACCTGTGATTCATGAGCTGGAGGGAGTCGCCAGGCGTGTTTCCAAAATCAGAAAGCAACAACCTACGGTCTATGAAATGGACGGTATGCCTACAGTGGTCGCCAAGCACATGTCTAAGAAGACTGGGCAACAATCCAGATTCTGCGAACTGGAAGACATAGCTACGACAGTCACCAACCGTATCCCAACGGAGCCCAAGACCCGTACAACGACCCATGAACTAGATGCTGGGTGTGAGGTACCCTCCAGCCACACCACTGGCAACAGCAAGAAACAACCGATGTTTGGAATGGATGGCGCACTACTTACGAATAGCATCCCACTTTGCTCTCGCACCAATTCCCCTTCCATAGCAGCCAGCGACACATCAGAACCCTGGATACCTAACAGCTTCTCCAACCCCCCTACGGTTCTTCTTAATGGCATCTTCGCTGGAGTACTGATGCGGCACAGAAATGCTACGAGGAGTATATTTGATCACGACCCGCACGCAATCATCGGCTTCAGCTGGACGGATAATCGCGCCAAACAATATGAGGAGGTTGGAATGCAAAAGTACAAGACGTCCAAGGAGGGTCTTACACTGTGGTGGAAGCCTTACTCGCCATCGGCGGACTACTATGATAGCGATGACGAGGATGAGTGATATGGAAGGCTGAAATTGGAGTTCTCGGGTGGTTTCCAATTCGTCATGTTGTGTTATAGTTCCGACGAAACAATAGTTGCTTCATTGATGTAGTGATTTATCTCATCATCCCCCACTTAGGAACATCCAGAAGTACTTTGCAATGGTTGGAGCGAAGAAGCATGTAAAGCCAAGCCTCTGACGTAGCACACCAGCCCAAAGCCTGCCCAGATGTGGTGCAGATTAATCGCGACCATACAGACGATGCCATGAGATAGCTGTAATGCCGACGATCCGGTCAGCACTTCGTAAGATATACACCGATCAGAACAACACCTAGCCGAACGTCATATGCCTCTTCCAACTCAAATAAGAGGTCCTCTCACAAGAACGCCTAGATCACTTTCCCGCTTTTGCTTTTTGTATTTCCAATAACAACAAGGTTCATCGGTCACGCACGCGATTCTAGGATACCTACCCCTCCATCAGCAACATGCCAGGCATCTTCAGCCTGTCAAAGTACCTTCCCCGCGCCTCTCCTCGCCATGTCCAGCCTTGCAATGGCGAGAAATGCGCCGCAGACTTTGGTCTCGACGTAATGCTCGTCTACCCAGAGTCGAAGGAATCGGCTGAAGACTGGCCAGCAAAGTTCCGAGCTATCACAAAGTCAAATGTCTATAGCTTTCGCATGCAGCCAAAAGCATTGGACCCAGAGAAGGATTTCCAAAGCTCTTCAGAAGAGGATGCAGATCTGCCGACTGATCCAAAACCGGAAGGCGCCTACGACAAGTCATCGACAAGACCGGTGATATTTGTTGCTGAGACTCCCGAGGCTCGAACTGCGTATGAGGAGGTGCGCCAGCCTGAACCGATCGTACTCGACCACATGAGAAGACGAATACCTTTTGCTGGACGCGTCTATGGCGTGATCGAGCTGCGACGCAACTCGAATCTTAAAATGACATGCATGCTCGCCTGGGGGCAATGGGGCTTGCACAACATCGTGAAGAACTACTACGGCTGCCGGCAATCGACCGATAACTGTCAGTCTGCGAGACAGCCGAGGATCGTGACCAATCCGTCAACCGGCTTTGTTATCTTCGTCACGGTTATGTCCATGTTGGACTACTGGATGCAGTACGACATGAATCGAGGGGATTATTACCAGCGACTATGCCTGGTTATTGGAATCACGATGAGCTGCTTGTTGAGTCAGTCTGGTCCGTCCATCGAATCGTTGCCTACGTTGATGGCTGCGATGAACTTGGCGATGACTTGTAGCGCTTTTGGGCACTTGGTGTGGCGGAAATACTTCAGCACTTGTGAGAAGAGGCTGGAGCAGAAGCTAGATGAGTGGAGAGAGGAGGCTCGCTGTACCCAAATTTACTTGCGGAAAGACTCCAAGCTCGAATGCGAAGCCCAGAAGCCCCACGTTGTTAAGTTCCACGAGCTGGACTAGACGGAGTGGGTGCCAATTAGTATGCGAGCGGGACGACGGATAAGCTAGAGGAGAATTCGCAGCGAACAGTCCACTTCAGTCACGTGTCTCGAGCGTGAGGGCGGCTTGGGTCAGGGTTTGGGCAGTATTGTTGTTCTTTATTGTGCGCGGGTCTATTCCCATTGTGTGCCTTTTAGTCGTTGCATGAGATATTCCACTTCCACCTCCTTTGTCAGGGGAATGACCCAATCCTGTATTATCTGTTAGTACGCAGCATGAATGAATGAGAGCACTGAACGTACCTTGTACATGCCAACAACCGCGTCTGCATTCACCTTGGACGAGCCGTTCGCGCCCAGGTCCGGGTCTGTGCCGTACGTCTTGGCCTTTAACCTCAGTCTCTCCAGCACCTTCTTTTCCACCGCAGCATTCGTGATAGCCTCGTCGATGCCTTTCCTGTCTTCGTCCTTGATCAACTTGACGAAGCGCTCCGTCTCCTGCTGGAACTTGGCCTCGGCAACGAACTTGCCAAAGTGTATGCGCCGCGACAGGGACTGGATGGTCATGACATCGCAGGTGGCAGAGGACCCGTAGTTCTCCTGCGACTCTCCCCGGTCCTCGCGGTCTGTCTGCAGACATGCGGCGGGCAGGATGTGCTTGATGTAGCAGTCCTTCAGCTGGGCGTTGACGTTGACATTATTCGGGTGCAGGATCTGCGGGTAGTTGAGGGGCGTGAGGATGGGCTCCTGGAGGACCTCTGGGAAGAAGGGGTATTCGTCGGGCGACTGGTAGCGGCGGACGAGGGACTGCAGGCGCTCCTGCTCGCGGAGCATCCAGTCGAACAGGCTGGTCTCGGGCTCGCCAATGTCGACGCCGCCGGGCACGTAGATGGTCCGGTTGAGGGGGAACTGCACGCGCTCGATCAGGTGGAAGGTGATTGTGTCCTCGAGCCGGCTGTCTGCTGTCAGTGAGACTCAGGCGCGCATGGCGGGGAGGCGTACATGAGCTGGAAGCGGATGTTGGCCAGGTCAAGCGCCTTGGACGCGTCGGAGAGGTCAATCGCGTCCATGGTTCCTCCCAGTTATTCCCAAAGCGTGACTATGCGGGTGAGTGATGTTTGCAGCCATGGCAGTCCGGTCGTGTCCCGAGCATCGGCGTGCTCTTCGGCGGATGACGCAGGCGGGTGCCGACTGGAGAGCTCGATAGTCACTCCCCTCCGCAACACCACTATCACCATCTCGAGCACCCGACGCGCCTCCCGCCTCCCGCCTCACCGCCTATTGGCCTCTTGTAGCACACGCGAGCACCTGATCTGAGATCCTAATGCGAAGATAAGGATGCCCTAGCGACGTCTCCTCCACTGCGCCGCCCGTTGAGTCTCCCGCCACACCTGAGCAGCTCGCATGGCCTCGTCCACCGCCCGCAATGGATCCCCAGGTCGCGGCCGGTCGACCAGCCCGCGCTCGCCGCGGTACTCGCAGGCCTTTGACGACGACGACGAGAGCAGCTTCATAGACTCGCTCCCCGATGTAGCCCCACCGCACCTTCCCTGAGCCCACGGTGATGCTAATGCTCGCTAGACCCGCCATCTGCAAGCTTTTGGCAAAAAAGTCACAGCCACCGCCGGCAGCTTGATAGGCGCCGAAGGAGTCACCCAGCACTACCAGAACGCCATTGGCGAGCTCCACCGCGAGCTCAGGCGCCCGCTGATGCAGCGCTCCGTCTTTTCCTTCGCCCAGACCACCCCCCGCGAGATCGTGCGCTCGCGAATCTCCGTCCCCGAGATCCAGCAGCGCGCCCTCGCCTACATCCCCAACGACCTGCTCTCCAACATCCCCGAGGACAACGCCGAGTTCTCCCTCTTCCAGGGCTTCGAGGCCTCGCTGCCCGACGCCCCCGACAGCCATGCGAAGAAACACGGCCGCCACAACGCGCGCGGCCAGCGCCTGATCGGTGGCGGGGGAGACGACGACGATCCCAATGTGCCCCCCTCGATGCAGAAGCTGCGGAAGCAGCGCAACAGCATGGGCCACCGTCTCGAGATGATGGGCGTGCGCAAGCACATGTGCGTCGCCGAGATACACGAAATCGACAACAAGATCGCCAACCTCAATACCATGCGCAAGATGGTCCTCGACCGTCTGGCGGGGCTCGAAATCGAAGAGGGCGAGCTGGAGCAGGATCTCCTGACTGTGGACAACCGTATCGAGGACCTGCAAGAAGAGCTGGACGACGAGGCTGCACTGGCACCCAAGACGGCAGGGTCGCAGACAAGCGACGAGCAGTCAGAAGGCAAGGGCGAATTCATGTCCGAGTCGATATACCAGAAGATACCCTCCTCGCCCAAGACGAAGAACAAGGCCAAGCGGCTGTCAAAGAGAATGTCCATGCCCGTACTACACGAGCATCTACAGTCAGGATCCAAGATCAAGGAACTGCCCGCCCACATGGACGCCATCACCGCCATGGACTTTGACGCTCCGTGGGGCATGATGGTCACCGCATCGCTAGACGACACAGTACGAGTATGGGATCTGAGCGCCGGACGGTGCATCGGAATGCTCGAGGGTCATCTGTCTTCCGTGCGCTGTCTCCAAGTCGAAGAAAACATCGTCGCGACCGGCTCAATGGACGCTTCGATAAAACTCTGGGACCTGAGCAAGGCCGAATACGCGCCCATGGATAACCGGATAAACAAGCCCGATGAAGAAAGCGACGATGGCCTGGCATTTGAGAACTCGGAAGACGCACCCCCTGCGCCACCGTCGACCAGCATGCAGGATTGCCCTCTCTTCTCCCTCGAATCACACGTCGACGAAGTCACTGCGCTACACTTCCGCGGCGACACTCTGGTTTCCGGTTCTGCAGATAAGACACTACGGCAATGGGATTTGGTCAAGGGACGATGCGTGCAGACGCTCGATGTCCTCTGGGCTGCCGCCCAAGCCACAGCTACGAACACCTCCAACAGCACATGGCGACAGACGGGACGCTCTGCCGACTCCTCTGCCGATTTCGTAGGCGCCATACAGTGCTTCGATGCTGCACTTGCTTGTGGTACCGCCGACGGTATGGTACGTCTATGGGATTTGCGTAGCGGGCAAGTTCACCGAAGTCTTGTCGGCCATACAGGTCCTGTAACAGCCCTGCAATTCGATGATGTCCATCTCGTGACCGGTAGTGCCGACAGGAGTATACGCGTAAGTCAACCATCTTTCCTCCGACTGTTCCCCAACTAACATGCACAGATCTGGGATCTCCGAACCGGCGCCATTGCCGACGCCTACGCTTACGATCACGCCATTAGCAGCATGATGTTCGACTCACGTCGGATTGTGTCTGCAGCAGGTGCAGACGTAGTCAAGGTCTACGACAAGACAGACGGAAGGCACTGGGACTGCGGACCCGGAGCTGACGAGAACGACAAGACGACACACTCCATCATAGAACACGTCAGGATAAAGGATGGCTATCTGGTTGAAGGACGTAGAGACGGCACCGTCGGTGTCTGGTCGTGTTAGTAGAACTATAGAAGTAGAAGCGATGAGGATTGTATATAAGAACGGGCTGCGCATATGCCAGTCATGTAAATGGCAAAGTGTTGTACTGCTGCAGAATACTCATTACGATATCACTATCAATCGATTTTGTGCCACTGCAAGGACCAAGATTTCCTCCACCCAACATCAGTCGTGATGCATGCGGGCCGCTTCCTGACGGGATGTCGATACAGATATTATCCACAGTGGCCGTGCTAGACTCAATCAAACACGAAGTCTGCCCGGGCGGGATGCATGCTTAGTGAGGAACAAGTTCAGTACACTGGTAGAGAATACATCAGCTCACAGTGATGTTTCGAGATGTATCCGCATTAGTTGTAGGCTGCATCTCACTTTCTGGCTATGCAATAGAGACATGGAAACATAGTTCTGACAGGCACAGCAGACGTTACAAGCACGCGGCAGACGGGCCCAGTGGAAGCTTGGTTGGTGGTGGAACCATGCAAGGATGGCCCGCGAAGCTCCGATCTGCCATGGTGACGTAACGCAGAACCCCGATTGACATTTCCGCGCTCTGAGACGCCTATCCCTGCTCCCACGCCGCCGTGGCATTTGCATACTACATTCGCTTGTCCTATCTACCTATGCCTTCTCATCGCTAATTTTGCAATTGAACTGTCAATTGCTGGCATCCCTCACGTAGGCGCCTACCTCGATCCCATCTCATCGCCGGCTTCCTCTCCCGGTTCCACGTGCTCCGCTCGAGCTCCGAATTCCTGCCATGCTCCCACGACAGGCCGCGTCGCTGTCGCGCGGGTACAATGCCACCTCCAGGGCCTCAATTCTCTGCAGACGGTTACCACGAGCGACCAACACACAATTCCGCACATCCTTCAGCAATGGGAGCCCAGCATCCGCTGCGAGACGCGCCGTCCTGCAGACTTCACAATTAAGCAGGCAAACCCCCACCACGACCGCGATACGAACCGTCTCGACGAAACCCCTTCAAGCTCCGCGATCGCGCCTCGCCCGGTATGCGTACCGAACAGCAGCCATGCTTGGCTCTTTCGTCGCGGTTAGCGGTGTCTTGGTCATCGCCTTCTTTGTCTACGACGCCTACACATACAACGAGGACCCTATCGCGACCGATATCCCCGTGTCCGAACTCGCACTCAGCCCGAGGAGAGGTGGACCCAAGAACCTGCCTATCGCCGACCACTTCGTCGACGACGACGAAACGCCCGAGAATAAGAAGCTCAAGCACAAGCCAAAGTTGGTCATACTGGGTACGGGCTGGGGCAGCGTGGCCCTTCTGAAGCAGCTGAACCAGGATGACTACCACGTTGTCGTCATATCGCCGTCCAATACCTTCCTATTCACGCCGATGCTGCCTTCCGCTACCGTCGGAACGCTGGAGCTTCGGTCCCTCGTCGAACCAGTCCGAAAGATCGTCAGAAGAGTACGCGGGCACTTCCTCAAAGCAAAGGCTGAGGACGTGGAGTTCTCTGAGAAGCTCATCGAGTGTTCAGCTGTAGATGCCAAGGGCCAGGAGCAACGGTTTTATGTCCCTTACGATAAGCTCGTCGTCGGAGTCGGATCAGTCACAAACTCGCATGGTGTCAAGGGTCTCGAACACTGCCATTTCCTCAAGGATATCAGCGATGCCAGGATCATCCGTAACCAGGTCGTCAAGAACCTCGAGTTTGCGTGCCTACCGACAACATCTGACGAAGAGAGGCGAAGACTTCTATCGTTCGTGGTCTGCGGCGGTGGACCCACTGGCGTAGAGTTCGCGGCCGAGCTGTTCGACATGCTGAACGAGGATCTCTGCAAGCTCTACCCCAAGCTTTTACGCAACGAAATCTCCGTCCACGTTATTCAGTCCCGAAGCCACATCCTGAACACCTACGAAGAGGCTCTATCTCAGTACGCTGAGCAACGTTTTGCCCACGACTCGGTCGACATCCTCACAAACTCGCGCGTCAAAGAAGTCCAATCGGACAAGATCCTCTTCTCGCAAAAGGATGAAAACGGCAAAGTGGTTACCAAGGAGATCCCCATGGGTTTCTGTCTATGGTCAACTGGTGTTGCGCAGACCGATCTTTGCAAGCGACTCGCCGCCAAACTCGACGGACAGAACAACAAGCACGCTCTGGAAACCGACACACATCTTCGTTTGAACGGATCACCTCTCGGTGACGTTTACGCCATTGGTGACTGCGCAACCGTCCAAAACAACGTCTCTGATCACATCGTCAACTTTCTACGCACGACTGCCTGGGAGAAGGGCAAGGACCCCGAGAAGCTTCAGATCTCGTACTCGGACTGGCGCGGCATCGCCAAACGCGTCAAGCAGCGCTTCCCACAAGCAGCAAACCATCTCCGCCGCCTAGACAAGCTGTTCGAACAGTACGACAAGGACAAGTCTGGCACTCTGGACTTTGGCGAGCTTAGAGAGCTGCTCTTCCAGATCGACTCGAAGCTCACATCCCTACCCGCCACCGCCCAGCGCGCTAACCAGCAGGGTGAATACCTTGGTCGCAAGTTCAACAAGATCGCCCAAGCAGCCCCCGGCATGGCTCTCAATAACGTTGACTACGGTGACCTGGATGATGCAGTGTACAAGGCTTTCGAGTACAAGCATCTCGGTAGCTTGGCATACATCGGTAACGCAGCCATCTTCGACTACAACGGCTACGGCTTGAGCGGCGGTCTGCTGGCCGTCTACCTGTGGAGAGGCGTCTACTTTGCACAGAGTGTTAGCCTCAGGACAAGGTGTTTACTCGCTATGGACTGGACCAAGAGGGCGCTGTTTGGACGTGGTATGTTACTCCTTCCTCAACGGTGTATGATTGTGCCTCAGCTAACATGGAATAGATTTGATGAACTTCTAAGCGATACATGGCTTGGCTTTTGCGAAGCGTAGATCGATAGACCGATGACCGTTTTTCGGGTACCTCATCTTCCTGTGTAGATTATTCCTTGTTCGATCTATTGAGGGCGGCTTGATGCTGGCTCTTTTACCAATATATTTTATCTTGTTCGACTGTATACGTGTAAGCGTCGGTGAAGCATTTGGGTTTGCCTTACCAAGCGTATAGCTGAGTCCGCACAGCGTAGCTGGTCGTAACTCGATACACCGCTCTCTTCTCGTGGTCATGATCACATTAACCCGGATTCAATATCGTTGTTCAATATATGCTCAGTCGGTTAGTCAGTCCAGGTCCAATGATAACAAAAAACAGACACGAAAAGTAAGCCGGGTCACGCCATGGAGATGACGGGTATACAAAGTAAGCCGGATCACACCATAGAAATACTCCCCTCTTCCCCACACTTCAACGGAGTTTTGTCTTCGTGTTAGCTGAGCTGAGGTGTTTGCGCTTTCACCGCAAGCAACGGACTTGGAACTACACCGAGTTTCTGTGCAACACTGTCTTGGTGGAGGTGATGCGGATGGGAAAACCTCACGCCACTCGTCAGCGTACGACGAGCGTACACAGAATACACCGTCTTTGGTAGAGGCGGTGCTGCTTCGAGGATGTGCGTTGGTGTAGGTGCAAGCGAGTCGATGAGAGTGTATATATATCACCCATTTCTACCCATCTCTAGAAGCAAAGCAAACAGCATCTTCCACGACCAGATCTTCCAAGATAAATATCCATCGCTTTGTTCAAAACTTCATCTAAATCCTTCCCAAGCAAATATGCCTGCCACCACCTCATCCATGCTTTCCACTCTCCTCCTCGCCATTCCCCTGCTCTTCCCCTACGTTACCACTGCCGCCGCAATCGTCAAGAAAGACATATCATCCGCAGTCGTAGTAGCTTCCGAAGCAGCCCTCGTAGACGCAGCCGTCACTTTCACCTTATTCTCCAGCGATGCCCAATGCCGGGCCAACCAGGGCACCCGGTACGCCAATCCCGACGGAGGCTGTTACTCATTGCCCCAGAACTCCATGGATGTCAATGCTATAGCTGATAGCTGCCGTGGTATGTATTTTAGACTTCTCCAGGGGCTAGATCCAAGGGGACGAGAGCTGACATGACATGTTCAATGCAGTCTTCATTTATGAATCTGGGAGCTGCGATGGTCGCGAAAAGCAGGTTTACGCCGGAAACGTCTGTGTGGATATTGCCAGCTTCAGAACCATCAAGGCATTCTGCGGTTGAGAGGGAATAGCTCTAGGAAGGTTGTTGAGGCTGTATCCCGGGGATCTCGAGTGGGACTTGAGGTGGATGTGAGGTCTGGCTTTGTGCTGTCGTTTCCTTGATCACTGCATTCAACATGCGAATCTTGTTTTTGCGACGAAGAAAAACCAGTGTAGGTAGCTTGGCCAATGAAGCTATGATGTGCTGAAGACGAAACTCTTAACAAGATGTTTCACTAATCGTGAGATGTGTGCTTGACGTAGTAGAGCGCACGCGAATCATCTACCATACTAAACTGCCCTCAAGGCTCTTGCTCATCCATCGCTTCAAGCCGCGTGCGGACCATGTTAGGATTCGAATGTCCTTGTTCGTCGGTCCAGCATTTCAACACTTCTTCGCGCATAATCCTGCGTGGAGCTCTCTTGCCTGTGAAAAGTTCGAATTGAGCGAAACCTTGTTCAGGCAACAGGTCAAGGCCATCCAAGCAGATCCATGATGCTGACGCTTCTTCGCGAACTTGTCTTGTCAGTGGCGTATTGAGAGTTCGGTAGGCAAGTTCTATCACTACACCTCCAGAAGGAGATTGCATCCATTGAGTGGGCAGCGTAAAGTCAGGCGATGGTTCATCCCCTACAGGATGCGTAGGTATACATGATACAATGACTGTCGGTGCGCGGAGATCTTTTGGCCAGGGGTCGTCCCTCGACTCGAGTATGCGAAAAGTGGGTTGAGAACCCTGGACGAACGATGGGAAGAGCTTGGCTGCGGATGGGCTTGCAGCTAATGCGGAGAAGTAGCTAACTAGCTTTTGTGCGTTCTTGATTGTTCGGTTGAAGATCACGATGTTCTTGATGCCAAGCTGTAGCATGGCATAGATCGCCGCCCTAGCCATACCTCCTGACCCAATGACCAGGCTAGAGGTGGTCGTTGGCCGCACAGCATTGGCGGGAGACAAACCTCTTCGTATGCAAGATCGAATGCCTATCCAATCTGTATTGTCGCCAAATAGTGCTTTGACAGGTCCGGACTGGTTGCGTTCCTGGTAGAGCTCAACCCCGTCCGCATCGGGAATGCTGCCGTCCTCGTTAAGATGGCGAATTGGCAGAAGCGTATTGACTGCTCCGATCGCTCGAGCATGGCGACTAAGCGAGTGAGAGAGAGCAACCGCATCCACTTTGAATGGCTGGCTGACTGCAGTGCCACCAAAGTTTGGCCGTCGTATCAACTCCCGTATGTTTTCGTCCAGTGTCGCAGTTTGGAGGCGGTCAAAGTGGTGAGGCATACCACACGCTCGATATGCCGCATTGTGCATAGCAGGGCTAAGACTGTATCCCGCTGCGGCACCGATGATGTAAAACTCCATGGGGTCATACGTAAACGAAGCATATAGGATATGTGTAGCTTCTGTCACAGTAAGCCATGACGTTTCTGGGTTTCTTTGTGCTCTGGTCTCAAAATCTGCGCTCTTCCGTAGCTTTTCTGGTATCACTGGAGTGAGAACCTGGTTGAAGCAAGCAGAACGCCGTCCAGCGCGTCCGGTATTATAACATATTATGGGTATTCTTGGTGACTTGGCGTATATAGTGTTGCGGAATGATTGAATGGCGGCGTTATCGTCCATGAAGTTCGCTGGTCGGGTAAAGCGTACCAGGCTGCAGCCCAATCGCATTGCTGTATCGTACTTCTCGAGCCAGAATACATCGTACCAGTCCATGGCTGCATGAAGATGGCCGATTATCTTGGTTGAGCCCCTCGACGCAACGATTGCGCGGATCAGCTCCTCGTCCATGGTAAGATCCACAGTGGCGAATTCAGGTGCCATTCGTAGACCGTACCACAAGTTTGCCAGGTAGGACGTTATGGAATGGCCTGAATGTGCTGAAGGCGGCATCGTGTGAAACATTATCGGGGTCACAGTACTCCTTCGTACTCTGAATATACTCTTGCTTATGTTCTCCGCGTGATCCGCTGTAAGCTGTGCTGGTTCAACGACTATCTCGAATGCGTCACAGCCAAATTCCAGCTCTTCAATGTCGACTTCTTCAGGCGTAAGATCTGATAGTTCAACCTGGACGGCGCATGTGTAATTTCTAAGCTCCAAATCGACATACGATAATGGAAAGTGACCAGGGTCGAGCGTGGGCGCGTCACTCTTGATCTTTCTGCGGGTATTCGTGGGAGATAGGATAAGTGCCAAAAACTTGAAGAAAGTTCTTTCCGCTCGTTTTAGCGTCAGGAATGCTGGCACAGAGGGCTGGTGTGCAGGTGCAACCGAGAGGTGAGCTGCGTTCGTTTCGGATATGTTGTAGAACTCGTAGTTCGAGCATCGCCGGAAAACCGGAGTACTGAGAGCAAGCAACTCTCGAACTTTGGATTCATCCGTGTCTAAGTATTCGCGTACACTGCGCACGTCTCGTGTAATGTGTATCACTGGGTGCGATGCCGAAAATTCATGCAGTAGAGCTTGGCTACTGCTATCCAGCGGGAATCCTCCGTTGCAGACGATAATGGCGCCTCTGCTGTGGTTTTGTAATGTGTCGCGTAGGATCTCCTCCTGCCGGAGGCTACGATTCGAAGATCCAAACTGTTTGCGATACGCAGCGGTCGAGAAGCCTGTCGCAGTGTGGAAGACACTCTCCATGTCGATGACCCTTCGCTGGCAGGCTACTGAAGCCATCATTGCCAATGTTGCTTTGCCTGTGCCATGCATGCCAATGAGCACGATAGACGCCCGGGATTCAAACATTCTTCGGCATTCGTACTGTGTGGGTGCTGGTGTTGACCTTGCCGAATTCGGTAGACTTCGCTGTTTGGACGCCGGCGGAGATGGTGTTGGCAGCGAAGCTCGCCCGTCCATAGTTCCGGTTTCCGTGTTCATTGCAGCAAATGAACGCTTCGCACCAACCGTCATGGACGCCATTGTTTGCGGGACTTGGAATTTGGAAAATGTAGTTCCAAAGTGTCAACAACATGAAGCAGAACATGGTGCTGCAGTTGGCAGCGACGAGTGCCTTAGCGAAACACGTGATAGCGGCGAGCCCCGCTTTTCCACGGGGATAAAACTTCATCCTGGTGCGCAGACGCTTCCCCGGCTTTCTGCAGTGCCTCACTAGGTAAGCTCGATGGCTTCTTTAGCAAGATGCTCGACCACCCCATATCTGGGTGATCACCAATCTGCTCTTCCGGCAAGGCTCTATGAGGCGCTTTCGTGTTCTTTGTGCGACGGCGAACGATAGCTGCCGAACCGATGTCTTTGCATACCCAGGAGAAACGCCGCCAGGCCACACAAGACATACCGGTAAAACGATTTCGGGTATCAAGAGCTTGCGATCAGTGTCGCAATGCCCGCGAGAAATGTGACGCGAACCAGCCCAGCTGCTCTCCCTGTCTGGACGCCAAGCGCACGTGTACATACACGTCAAACCCGAAAAAGCGAGGGCTCCAGCCCGGCTACATACGCAGTCTTGAAATGACACTGGCCTTCATTTTCCAACAGCACGCTGAGGTTGAAACTTCAGTACACGAGCAACTGGCCCAGGAGGATACGGTCTTGCTAGCGAGGGGTACTAAAGACTCGAATCGTTTACACAAGAGCTGGACCAAGAGCAGATTTTGTCGAGATGTTACCAAAGCATTGTCTGGAGAGCAGATAGGAGCAAGCGAGGACAGGCCGCCAAGTTCAGACGAAGACAGTGAAGTGGACACTGAAGATGCCACGCTTCTCCAGATGACACCAAAAGTTCAGTCTCAGCATTCGGTACTAGCCCTATGTGACTATCTTGATGAGTGCTGACTTATGCAGATATCATGGCAAAGTGACACGAACTACGTGCCGCAGGCTATGCGCCCACCTCCATTACCGGATCTTCATTCTCCGCATCTGCAGCAGTCTACAGGCTCTTCTCCCCTTACCCCCCTGCCTACAGACTGCTGGAGGTTGATCGAGATATACTGCACGTATACACAATGCTGGCTGCCCATCGCGGACAAGCTTGAGATCCTCAAACTGTCGTATTCTTATGCGGAACAAGGTTTGGCTCTGTCAAGCGATATGTCCAACTCGGGAAGTTACGCAGAGATGTGGAGTGTATTTGCAGTCGGCTCTACGCATGATGACACGAGTCTTGCAGGAGACAGCTATCATCCATGGCCGTCCGGAAGACTTTACGATATCGCGAGGCAACTTATCCCCAATGAGCTAGGCAAATTCGAACTAGGTCACGTCAAGGCCCTTCTCAACCTAGCATTATTTAACATTCATGGGAAATTATTCGATGCTGCCTGGCATCTTGTCGGCGGTGCTTTAAGACTAGCTCTCATGCTTGCTGAATCGCCAGATGCTGTTACACTTCGGCTCAAGCATGTTATCTCGAGTTGTTTTGTGCTCGACAGTCTCTTGGCCTTACATCTCAAACGGCGCCCGTACCTCGACAGGGCCGATCTTTCGTGGATGGGCAAGATAGAAGAGGATGGCATGGAAGAATGGCAGCCATGGGGTGGGCATCTCAATCTTGGTCCATCACGTCTGTCAAACTCTCCGACACTCGCTTTGAGCACTTTCAACGCTCTTATGGAACTGGTTGACATTCTTCGATGTACGTCTATGGAGCGGACAGCGCCAAACTTCCTACATGAGATGATTGGCCGGCTTGAGATGTGGAAGTCAGCGTTACCACCAAAGCTCGATTACATTCGAAAAGACCCACCTTCTACGCCACCGACCCCACCTGCATTGCTTCTCCGATTCACTTATCTCGTCACTGCGTTTACTCTCGTTCCATCTCAGGCATGGCTTCAGCAGATCTTGGACATGTTAAACGTCCTACAACAGCAGCTTGGGGTCACAAGAATGCCAGCTGTCATCACTTGCTTGTTGCAAAGTATCAAGAGAAGCACTAATAGTCTGACTCTGGATCAACCGACACATACTCGAATTCACGAGTTGTTTGCTGCTCTTGGCCATTCATCACAAGAGACTTTGGGGAGAGCATCATCGGGGTTGCGATCGATGTCGGTCACTTTAAGAGACGCGTCGTCGGAAGATTCTGGAACCGTTCAAACCTCTCCGCAGTCTCTCGTCTCACAGCATAGTGGTCCGTTCACCGATCGGTACCAGCAACCGCCCAACCAGTCTACTATGGTCCATCCAGATATGAACGTTAGCCATGCTGGTCACAGTCTGCAACCATTCGAACCCAATCTATTCGATTTCGGGATGGCCGGCCCGATCTTCGACCCCCATGATCCTTATAATGCTTTAGTCTCGGGTGATTTGGGAAGTTTCCTCGACGACTTCGCTTCAAAGCATGGTGCCAAGAAATTACAAAACCAACCGCAGTTTATGGAGAACCTCGGATTTTCATCGGAAGTAAGCATGGCCGACCTATTGGCGGCTGATACCGGCCGTTTCATGCCTACTGCATCGAACCTAGGCGTAGATAACAGCGAGGAATCTCCTCAATTCCCGCTCAACACTTTCTACGATGCTGGGTGAGCCTGACTGCAGGCTCTGAACTTAAAAAAAAATAGACAATACCTAGCTATTCAAGAAGTCCAGATTAGCAGAGTCAAGACAAATGCCTTCATCATTCTGGGCGTCGCATTCAGGAACGATGCTTGATTGTTGGGTATCTTCTACATATAGACTGTCAAACGATAAGAAGCACAGGAAATTGAACAAAGAAAACCACATCAGCTTCCGCCTCATAGCCGCGCATACTCGGCTTGTCCCACATTGCTTACTTCGTTTCGCGGTCTCTCCACAGACGCCAATGTGTCATACACCGCACCCGTACCAAGCTGCAAATCATGACACATGGCATACCACGCGGCCGCAGCGCGCTGTGCCAGTTCTTCAACGACTCCTTTATCCTCTCTGTTCATGACTCGATTGAACAACTCCATGCTGACCCAGCCCTCAAATCCAATGTCCTTGATGATCGCACGTGTGACATCTTTCACGGGCAAGTACGCTCCACGACTAGTCTCGCCATAAAATAGCCTGCAGTTTCTGCTCCAAGACATACGAGCTGGCTGTTCGGCGTTGTAGAAGGGATGACCGGGAAGCAACGGTCGTGCGAGTCGCTCAGCATCGACGATCTGGATGAAGAAGATCTTCTCTTTGTGGGGTTTGATCTGGGCAACCAGCCGTTGTATCGACTCGCGAGCTGCCTGGTCAGCTCCTACGACCTTTCCAGATTCAGCAGTAGGGTCTGCATATATTCTGCCCAGAATGTTGAAGCTGTCCAGGCAGATGCCAAAGTTCGTTCGATCGACCCGTTGCACGATATCCCAGCATACTTCCCATTTGTCAACGTGTGTTCCCCAGCTTAGGCTTTCGTATGCGAATCGGATGATTGGTGTCTGTTGGAGCCCAAGGTCCGCGATCTCTTGAAGGTCACTGACGATGAGGTCTGTATCGGAGGATGTCTGGTTGGGGGGTAGAAACGACGAAGGGACTTGGACTATGTCTGTTCGGAGGACATGCGCTAGCTGCATCCAAAGCTTCATCTCTTCGATTCGCTCAGCGTGTCGCGTCCTGTCCAAGAGACCCTCGTAGTGCATGAAAGGCTGCAGACATATGATCTCCAGGCCCAGGGAAGAGCAAAGATCGTAGACTGAGGCAGCTCCTGCGAGCAGGTCGGATGACTTGTCGGACCCGGCGTGATCGACTAGGTCCTCGTAGAAGAGCTCGATGCCCTCTAGTCCGTGTTTCGCCGCCATGGAGAGTTTGTGTTCGAGGCTGTGGCCAGCGTAGCATCGGCCTAGCGACATGGAGGAGATACCTGGGCGGCACGGCATGATGCTGATAGAAGATAGATGATAGAGGATAGAGGATAGAAGACGGAAGATAGAAATGGAGGCGTATGTAATATGCAATATGGTATTGTGAAGGTGGAACTACAGCGTGAACACTGAGAGGCTAGCTATCATACTTGTGAAGCTGATAAGACATCTATAAGCAGCTGGCGTACATTCAAGGCCGTTCATAACCCACCGATATCCTGATCAACGCATCCTGCACGACCGTTTCCTACCATGCACATACGCATTGAACCTTCCTCGTCCAATCACGCGCGACGAGCACTTGTCGCTCGCCATCCCGGAGTAATGTTGGAAAATGAAACACACTCCTTACGCAACCGTGATGTGCCGTGGCAAGCAGTAGGCAAGCCCAGCCTGGTGACATCTTGGTGGTGCAGATGGGGGTTCGGCGCTAGCCGGGCGGAAAAGAGCTTAGAGATAAAAGGTAAAGTTTCACCGCGCGCGGCAAAATTCTTGTATTTACTAATTATCGCTTATTAGCTTAATTTACGCACTAGTAAAGCTTAGGCTACTTACTTAGAAAAAGTAGTCTTTTAGATAATTATAACTATTGCAATAACTACTACTTATAACTATAGCTCTAGCTAAGTTAATTAAATTTACGCGTAATAAGACTTTTTACTATTTATTCTATTTTTTTTATATCTACTACTCTACTTTTATAGCTTAAAACTAGTTCTACGTTAACTACGCTAGCTTTATAAGTTATAAGGTTTTATTTAAATAAGCTATATTTATACTAACTTTTTACTTTAAAGCCTACTCTCTAATTCTTTACTTCTTTACTTATACTACTATAATTTAGTAGTTAATAAGCTAGTAATAATTTATAAGTTCTCTTTTACTTTTTCTTTAGTTTTTTATTTTAAAGCTTATTAATTTTAATTATATTTTTATTCTTTATTTTAGAGTTTAGTATAATATTTTTACTTTTAGCTATAACCTCTAAATTTATAAGCTTTTTTTTTTACTTTTTTAGTAGCTACTTTAAGCAGCGTAAAGTTAGCTTTTAATTTTTAGTTTATATACTATATTTTACTACTTATTTACTTACTTTTTACTTTAAACTTTATACTTTATAAGCTTTATCTTCTTTTCTTTAGCTTCTTTCTTACTTTATACTAACTACTTTACTTTCTAGACTTAGCTTTACTTTTAGTAGAACTTCTACTAGAATTTATAGCTATATTATAAACTACCTTACTATTTAACTAGCTACTACTCTAGCTATTAAGATTTTAAGCGTATCTAGCTTAAGTAGTAATAGTACTAATACTACTATAGATAATCTTAGTAAAAATAATAATACTACACTTAAAACTAGTAAAAGTATTCTAAATACTATTAAAACTAGTAATATTAAAGTTACGTAAGAAGATAAAGAGGCACTTAAGCGTATTAATAGTAATAATAAAGATAACTACTTTATTTCTAAAGGTTTTATTAATTTAATAAATAACTATAGTAATAAGAGTAATATCTTATCTCTATTCTCTATTTTTTCTAAGATTATTCTATAAACTTTTTATAAGAAAGTAAAAAAGTGTAATAAGCTATATTAGCGTAAAAGAAAGTAGTATAAAATAAAAAGCTACGCTAGAGTTAGATCTCTTTACACTTTATTTAAGAATTAATAGACTAAGCTATAATCTAAAGAAAAGAGTAAGAATATATATTTCTAGACCTTTAATTTAAAATCTTATTCTTTTCTAGTAACTACTAATATCTACTAAGTAAAATATAGTATAAAGAATAAGGTTATATAAGTAGAGCTCTATTCTTCTATTTTTTTTCTTTTACTATTACTTTTCTTCTATTTTATCTTTCTAGCATACTTAGCTCTACTTCTTTTTTTTTCTAATATCTCTTTAGCTTTTTATTCTAAGATCTTAGTCTTTCTAGTATCTACGTCTAGACTTTACTAACTATACTACTATATAGAATTATATTTTATAACTATAATAAAAAGACTTTATAATACTTATTCTATAAGAAAATAGATAGTATATATATAGCTTATTTCTTCTAGAGATCTTAGAAATTCTACTACTTCTACTAATAATATTAGTCTATACTTTCTAAAAAGAATACTTTTAATAGCACTAAGCTATATATAGTCTACTCTTATAGCTATCTCTTTACTACTACCTTTTTTAAAGCTATCTATATAAAGTAAGAGCTCTACGTAGTATACTACTCTAAATACTAGTTATTCTCTAGCTTTACTAATAGAATATCTAGAAGATAGCTAAACTCTACTACTATAATAATAAGCTAATTAAGCTAACCTAGTTCTTTAGTAAGTATACGCTTATAATTCTTACTATATTTAAGATATACTTTAGTAAATTTATAGTTAAGAAAGTATATTAAACCTTCTAGTAGTAAAACCTTAAAATATATAAGAAATATAGCTAATAGATTTTATTTTATAAGCGCTAAATATTAGTAATATTTAGGTAAAGATACTATAGAGCTAAATTAATGCGCGTAACACTTTAGAAAGTTACCTTAGTATATACTCTTATCTTTTCTAATTTTTAGATAGAACTTCTACTAATTATTTCTAGCTTCTACTATTAATATTAATAACTATTTAATACTATAAGTAAATAAAAAAGTAGTAAAGGCGTTAAGAGTAAAGTTAGCTTAGGCCTTTAAGAAGCGCTCTATAGAGCTAGATAGTAATAACGCTAATATAGAGAAGATACTAGTAAAGAAGAAAAGTTATTCTATAAAGACTTATAAGATCTAGAAGTTAATAGAGGTTTAGACTAGTATATACGTTATACTTACGCGCTATTATACACTTTCTAGAAGATCTAGTTACTATTATACGTATAATACTATAGTAGAAAGTTAAGTAATAAGGTATATATATTTAAGGTTAGAATACTAAGTTATATAAAATAGTTAATAGATTACTCTTCTATAATATAATATACCTTAATTCTTATTAATTATAATCTTTCTTATATAATATTATAAAATTTCTACTCTTATATAGCTAACTTTATCTTTAGCCTTTTAATATAAGCTAGTTTTATATTACTACTAAAGACTCTATACTACCTATACGTAATTTAGCTATTTTATACTTAGTAATTTTAATAGTATTAATTAGTTAGATTAAAACTTTATCTCTTAAAAGCTTTTAATTTCTTAGTATATATAAAAAGTATAAAATAATTAGTATAATTACTAACTTTAGAAAAGAGTAAAGTTTTTTATAGAAAGAAACGCGCGTTTTATAGAAAGAGTATAAGTAACTAAAGTCTTATACTAAAAAGCTTAGAAATACCTACGCTAAAGGCGTAAAAAAATTTTAGCAACTATATATAAATATAAAATAACTATATTAGTAGTATTATAGCTATTACTACTCTAAAAGTTTAATTATTAGTTTTACTACTTTTTTAACTATATATTTTATAAATTATAGAGGTTTTCTAGTAATTATAGTAACGCTATAATTTTTTAAAGTAACTTTATATTATAAGTTAATTACAAAAAACTATACGCCTACTTGTAATAATAGAAAGAGAATATAATAGCTAGTTATACTACGTATTCTATAGTATAAGCTTATATTTAATAAGTATTTTATCTATAACTTATATTATTATCTTTATACAAAGTACTAGCTATCTATATATTTTATTTTCTTATACTACTTTAATACTTTAAAGTATAAAAATAATAGTGTACATAATTAATAGAGTTATTTCTCTAGATACTTATTATCTTTATTACTATTACTAAAGTCTAGCTAGTTATAAATACTACGCTATTTTG